TGGGGCATAAGATGGTCTTTTTTGACATTTTGGAAGATTAAGTTCTCAGTTCCTTAAGAACGAATCTGAGACATCGCGGGCCGCCGGTGCCCGCAGCCCCGCCCCTTTGTTATCTTATTGCTGTGTACAAATTATATCAAATTGCTAGTCATATAAATTACAATTGTATTTTCTAGTTTGTCATTTGTCTTTTATCTTTATTTATGGTATACTTTGTGACCTTATTTTTCATGTAGTCAAATCCTTTTTATATGACCAGTGGGTTTGAATATCATTAGAATATTTTCAGTTTTTCTTTACTACTTCAGCCCTTTATATACACGTAATTCCATGTAGCATATGATGTGAAATATTGTAACTTTTCTCAAATGGTCAAATGTGTCATACAGTGATTCATGGTTTAAAATAAGAATTGGAAAATAGGATTCACTGCCTATTTTTGTAAATAAAGCTGTATTGGGACACAGTTATGCTCATTCATTTACATATTGTCTGTGGCTACTTTTGCACTATAACAACAGAGAGGAGCAGCTGCTATAGAGATCATATATATATATCTCCAAAACCTAAAATATCTGCTATCTAGCTCTTTAGAGGAAGAACTTGCTGACCTTGACTTTCATACATTTTTGGCTTGGCCAATAAATATATGAAAAAAGTTCGATGTCTCTGGCCATTAGAGAAATATACATCAAAATTGCATTCAGATACCACTTTACCCCAGAAACAATGGCTATGGTCAAAAACTCATATAATAACATATGCTGGCAAAGATGTGGGGAAAAAGGAACTTCTTCTACATTGTTGGTGGGAATGTAAACTAGTAGAACCACTATAGAGATGAGTGTGAAGATTCCTCAGAAAACTAGCAATAGAAATTCCATCTGACCCAGCTCTCCTCTTGGGTATCTTTCCCAGAGTTAAAGTCATCGCATTCTAGAGATGCACACATACCCACGTTCACAGCAGCACAATCTGTAAAAGCTAGTCCATGTATATGTTCATAAACAGACAAAAGAATAAAGAAAATGTGGTATTTATATATAATGAAGTACTATTCTGCCATAAAGCAAATGATACATTCATAGGCAAATGGATGCAACTTGAGAACACATTAAGTGAAATAAGTCAGATATACAAGTTTAAATATCTCATGGTTTCTCTTATATGAAAAGCACTCTGTCTCTCTCAGAAGAAAGAAAGCACTCCTGACTATCTACTTTGAAACTCTTAAACTGAAACTGTTCTTTAACGAGTTCGAGAAAAGGGATCCCATTACACCAAAATAACCTGGGTATTTGGGCTTAATTAAAAGTTCAGACATAAACAGGAATTAGGGAGTTGATGTTACGGCTCCTCAAGATGGCGTCAAAAGTAGAGTGAAAGAGGAAATGGGTCCTCTCATGCAAGATCTACCTTTGGTAAAGGCATAGTTTCAGGGTGTAAGGCATGTAACAGGTCAGTGAATTCCAACTGATAGGCTTTAACTCTAACTGTGGAGTGCTTTGTTAGGTAAGCAGGATGATGAACACACAAATAGGAAACAATTTTAAGATTACCTTAATCTCAAGATTAAAATTAAGAATCTTAATTAAGAAGATGAAATAAGCTCATAATGGTTCTTGTATTAAGCTTTTAAAATAGTATCTTGTACTATATAGATTTTCTACAAGGGCCAGACAAATAGCTCAGTGGATTAAAGCGCTTTAGGCAGATGCAGGGGCTGGGAAGTTTGATCCCTGGGCCTGCCGTGCCAGCCCCGGGGTGCGCTGAGACTGTGATTCAGACTGGGTGCAGTGGTACAGGCCTATAATCCCAGCATTTGGGAAGCTGTGAACAGGAGGATCACTATGAGTCCAATCTATGCAGTGAGACCCTGTAGACCCTGTCCTAAATTTAAAAAAAAAAAAAAAAAAAAAGATTTCTACAAAAAGAAAATTTGGGTAAAATTGGTCAAGGGGAAAAGAAGAGGAAAAGATAGGGAGAGAAGTAGTGATTTGGTTATTCTGAAAAAAATCAAGACAATTCATATAAAGAGAAGGCAAAAATTGAATAATTTAAAAATTATATACAATTTATATCACATTAAAAATTTTATATCACATTGCTCTGGAAATTTTTTTTCCTGCTGAACACAAAGTAGATGCTTAAGACAGCACAAGAAGAACTCTGGAAGACTCTTATTTATTTATTTATCTTTTGGTCGGAACCGGGGATTGAACTCAGGCCCTTGTGCTTGCCAGGGAAGCACTTATTCCACTGAGCCCTCTCCCTGACCCTGGAAAACTCTTAATAAACACAGATCTCTTCTCAAAACCTTAGTCCTTCTTGCTTTGTCAAAACAGATGGAGAATAATGAATAATCCAAGGATGAACCCAAAACTATTGACTCTGACAGAAAAATAAAAGGTACTTGAGATTAGGAATGATGCAGATAAATCTAAGACAACTCTGAAGACAAAAATATAGCAGTTCTGGGCTGGCTGAAGGTCCATGCAGGAAAAACATACTATCTGTTTCCTTATATTCCCCACATTGTATCTGGGCTCTCATTAAAACCAATTTTTCTTTTTCCTTTTCCTTTTCCTTTCTTTTTCTTTTCTTTGCAGAACCGGAGATCGAACTCAGGCCCTTGCGCTTGCCAGATAAACACTTATTCTACTGAGCCATCTCCCCAGCCCCAGTAAAACCAAATTTTGCACTTTCAAAATCTAAAGCCTAGAAAATCTAAAACCACACTTCTCCCATGGCTTCCCCACACCACACGTGTGCTTCCCCAAGCTCTGTGTGTGAAGGAATGGGCATCTCTCTGAGCTCCACATTTACCTCATGTGCTTGCTGTATCTGCGTCTTGGCAAACTTTTAATTGTTTAATTTAAGGTACACAGAAGCAGTGCCATGAGCCAAGAGGTACTCAGCAAATCTTGTCTGCTGTAGTACTGTTTATTTTTTTATTTTTATTGCAGAACCAGGGATTGAACTCAGGCCCTTGCACTTGCCAGGCAAGCGCTTATTCTACTGAGCCATCTCCCTGGCCCTGCAGTACTGTTTAAATTTGACAGGAGAAAAGACTTGATTTTAATTTGACTAAATAAAGGGTGTTTTATATCAACTATGTTGAATTTAGCACATATTTCTTTTTAAAGAGTAGGCTTTTCTTACATATGTTTTCATAAGAAACAAGATAAAATGCATTTGATTGGTTTCTACCAGACTGTTTTATTTGTAAGCTTTGGCAGACTTTGGGTTATGCTAGCAAATTCTAATGATGAATCTGTTTAATCAGAAAACTACACTATATCTATAGCCATTGTATTATCAGTAAAAATACCCTAAATTCTTTTCTTTTTCTTCTGATGAGTCCACTTAAAAAGAACCTTAGAAAAAAAGGAAAGAAAGAAAGAAGTGACAGACAGCCGGGCGTGGTGGTACATGCCTGTAGTCCCAGTACTTGGGAGGCGGAGGCAGGAGGATTGCTGTGAGCCCAACCTGGACTACACAGTGAGCTCATGGTGAGACTACATGGTGAGACGTGGTCTCAAAAAACAAAAACAAAGTGAGGAAGAAAGAAAATATCTAAATGTGATCTAGAATGA